AGTCTCTAGGTCAGCTGTGAACTTCTTTATTGAGGCCTCGTCATGGAGTCTAAATGAGACTTTGTTGTATTCAAGTGGTGGTTTACTAATGTTTGTTAAGAGGAAGGTAGGGTAGTGGTCTGTAGTGCTATCTGTGATTATCCCTGATTTAAGGGTGGCTAGTATATTGGTCCATATGTGGTCTATTATGGCTGCACTTGTTTCAGTGAGCCTGGTTGGTTTAGTTAATGTTGGTATGAGAAGTGTGTTGTTCATATTGTTGATGAAATCAGTTACAGGCTGATCATCTAGTATGCCAAGGTTGATGTTGAAGTCTCCAGGTAGTTATTTGTGTTAAATTGTATCATCCATTTCTAGCTCCACTTGTTCAATCCATCAGGGTCATCTTATAGGGATACATATTTTTTTTTTTTTTTTTTTTGTTGCTCCTTGAATATTTATATAATATACAAACAGGTTCATAGTTATTTTATTCCTCGGTATTTGATTATTTGAATTCCAAACATTGGGCAGGTATCAGTTCTTGTCATTCTGCTTCCAAACTAATTACATTTCACATCCAGACAAACACTCATAGTCTGCAAATGTTTTTTTCTATTTCTGTTATGTTTTTAAGTTTCCAGATTATCCTTTGATGAGGAACTAATGTGCCAGTCTATTTCTTTCTTAGCCCTTTCAGGGTCTAGACCCCCAATCTGAAACTTGTCCACAGGGTCCCAGAATTTTCCAAAAAAAAAAAAAAAAAAAAAAAAAAAAAAACTCTTATGAAATGGTAGGGAATCTTTTTCTGAAGAAATGTAAAACAAAAAATACGGAATTTGATGGAAAATTGGTAAAATTGTGCTATCATGAATTTTGGTGAGTCAGCAATATTTATGCATCCAATCAAATCAAATCAAAGTTTATTCTCTTTAAGGATTACAATGCAGGGTTTACAGATTTTGGTTATTGTGTGGTTTACATGTAGTAAAATACTAATTACAGAGGGGCCCACTAGAACACTTAGCATGGCTAGGCATTTCGGGCAAACTTAGATTAATTCTTAACCCTAAATTATAACAGATTGTGGAGTAAGTTGACTAAATACTAAGTGACTAAATACTAAGTGACAAATACTAGTTTGTGAGTTTAGCAATGTGAATGCTTTTGTTTTGGCACAATACATAGTTTCTATATTGGAGTATCACAGGCAAACTTATGACGAGTTTGGAATCATTATTTTAAGATTAGGATTCGTTTTTCTGTGCTTATAGTCAAATGGGTGAGTGAGTGAGTGTAAATGTGGACCACCAGGTGGTTTTTATGTAGTTAGTTGATGGGGTGTATCAGGGAGATAAGATATTTTCTAACAGTAGTTTTGAAGGTGATGTATGTGTCTGCTGTTCTAGCGTTTTCAGGTAGTATTTTCCAGAATTTAGGGCCTTCGACATACATGGAGTTTTTGTAAATGTTTAGTCGGACATGGGTAATGTCATAGAGATGTTTGTGTCTGGTGTTATGCCTGTGGGTCCTGTCACAACTATCAAGAAAGGATTTTAGGTCAAGGTTAATATTGGAATTTAAGGTCCTGTATATGTAGATTGCACAGTAGTAAGTGCGGATGTTCTGAACAGGGAGTAAGTTTAGATCTATGAAGAGTGGGGAGGGGGGGGGGTGTTGCCAGGGATGGGAATTAGTAATTATTCTTATTGCAGCTTTTTGTTGAGTTATTATTGACTTTAGGTGTATTGCTGCAGTTGATCCCCAAGCACAAATAGCATAGGTGAGGTATGGATAAATGAGTGAATGGTATAGTGTGAGAAGGGCATTTTGTGGCACATAGTATCGTATCTTGGAGAGGATCCCAACTGTTTTGGATACTTTTTTGATGTTTGATTTTTGCTCGCTTCGACTCCCATTTTAGGCAAATTACATTATTCCAGTCGACCAAATTCTTAGCTATTTTGCTAGTATTATTTCTATTTTATCGACTGAGCACAAAAAACTGCTCAATTAACTATTTCAACTTCCCAATAAAGTGGTCAGAAATTGCTAATTTGGCCAATTTCCCACAAAGTTCAAAATACTGCATTCCAATTTCAAAATAGGATCCAAAATAAACAATGCAGACATTCCTGGCACTAAAGTAACATTTCCTCTGTTTATTAGTTGTGTTTCCAGGCTTTACACATGAATTCCATTTTGATTTTTTATTCACAAAGAATTTTTATTCACACCAAAAAAATAGATTTACTGTTATGCAATATTGTAATAATTGTATAAATAAAATCAGTGCATTTCTGAACATAGACAGTGGTACCTTGACTTATGAGTGCCCCAACTTACTAGTTTTCTGAGTTACGATCCGTCGCTTCGTTGATTTTTTGCTTTGAGTTGCGAACCAAAATTCGAGTTACAAGCGAGCTTTAGATACACTGCCACTCATAGGAGGGAGGAAATATAAAAAACCACGATAATAACCATTGTGTAACATACTTTCAGTTTTGATACCACTGGTAGTGTCATCCTCCCAGAATGTTCTGTAATGTATTCCCTAAGTAAAGAAAAACAATTCTGGAACATATGTAATACATGTTCAGCAGGCTGGCTGGCTGATTTACTTTGGCTGTCTCTATCTTCTGTCTGTCTCTGTCTCTGTCTCTGTCTCTCTCTGTCTCTCTGTCTCTCTCTGTCTCTCTCTGTCTCTCTGTCTCTCTCTGTCTCTCTGTCTCTCTCTGTCTCTCTGTCTCTCTCTGTCTCTCTCTGTCTCTCTCTGTCTCTCTGTCTCTCTCTGTCTCTCTCTGTCTCTCTCTGTCTCTCATCTCTGTCTCTCTGTCTCTCTGTCTCTCTGTCTCTCTGTCTCTCTGTCTCTCTGTCTCTCTGTCTCTCTGTCTCTGTCTCTCTGTCTCTGTCTCTCTGTCTGTGTCTCTGTGTCTCTGTGTCTCTGTGTCTCTGTGTCTCTGTGTCTCTGTGTCTCTGTGTCTGTGTCTCTGTGTCTCTGTGTCTCTGTGTCTCTGTGTCTCTCTCTGTCTCTGTGTGTCTCTGTCTGTCTGTCTCTGTCTCTCTCTGTCTCTGTCTCTCTCTGTCTCTGTCTCTCTCTCTGTCTCTCTCACAGGTACACATAAATACAGTTATATGTAGTGTAAATTACCTAGGATAACCAAAAAAAAATCCAGACAGTGCTATGCTATGCTTGTAGATATAAGGCATAATAAGTGTGACTGGCAAGTAATATACATTTTCATTTACAGTGGACCCCCGGATAACGATATTATTTCAATCCAGAAATCTGTTTGGGTGCCGTTATAGACCGAATTTGTTCCCATAAGAGATATTGTGAATTAGATTAGTCCGTTTCAGACCCCCAAAAATACACCTACAAAAGCACTTACAAAAATACACTTACATAATTGGTCGAGTTGGGAGCTGATCGTTATGCGGGGGTCCACTGTATTCAAGAATCAGATGTGACTGACTCATGTGTAATACCTGTTGGTTCATGAGTGGCTCTCTGAGACAGAGACAAGAAGAGAGACAGGAAGACAAACACAGGCAGACAGAAAGACAGATAAGCAGAGAGAGATAAACATAGAGCTAGACAAATAGACAGATCGAAACAGGTACAGAAAGAAACAGATAGAAACAAACAGATAGACAAACATGTTTGTGTGTAACAGTGAAAAATAAAGCCAAAGCAGTGCATGATCATCTAATTAACTCCAGTTCTGTACTGTCAGTAACAGAGTAACACTCATCTTACACTGTGCTTTCAGAAGTTTCATATATACTCCAGCATTTCTAAAACAATGCTGGGACCTGGTGGAAAAGGCAAAAAGAATTTCTAATTTAAAATATTTTGTTATTCAAAATCCTGTAACAAAAAATTGGGGTGGTATTTTGGGGCTGGAATGGATTAATGGCATATCATTTAATTACAATGAGGAAAATTTATTTGATATGCAAGCAAATTGAGTTACGAGTTTGGTCACGGAACGAATTAAACTCATAAGTCAAGGTACAACTGTATTAGACCCACCAGTTGACATGTATTGGACACGAGATGTCATTTGTTTATTTTTGAACATCAGCAAAAATCGAACATTTCTACTACTATGAGCTCAGTTTCAAACTATTTTCAGTAGTAAAACCAATCAAAATCATCTCTTTTTCTGTAATATCTTTCATTCTATCAAATGAGACCAAGAAACCTCAAATACAACCTTAAAGACCATACGAAAATACACCGCAAAATTGCTGTTTTAATCCAAAAACATGGTCGTAGTTTTTTTTCTCATTATGCACTGCATGCTGCAGGATTTGTTTTATATGGTGCACACATACCACATAGATCTATTCTCTCATATCTAGGTCCAAATTTACTGCTCACAGCTTGTCTGAGTGAGCTGACATAGAACGTCTTGGACCCTCAAAGGGTTAATATGGAGCAAAGACTAGAGGGACACTCTTAGTGTTTTTAATATATATCTTCACACCAGCACAGAGTGTAAGTTTGTTTAGATACAAGTACACATTAGTATAATTTTCAGAGTACATATAAAATATGCAATAATTTAAAACACTTGAAATTTTGGTAAATTTCTAGACATGATGGAGACATAGAGCTCACGGAAAATGTAAACAAACTGTGAGGTGACTATATTAGTCAGGTGGGGGGAGCCATATAGCGAGTTTTGGTCATAATTTGAAATGTCCGTATTAGTGAAATGCCTTGAAGTGGGGCCCTACTCTGTACTATTAATGTAATTCTGTGTCTTTGACATTTGGAGTATCTTAAATGAAAATAAAAATTTTAAATTGATATTTCATAGCAAAGTATAGATTTTTCAACAAGAGAAGGGTGTCCAGTTATTTAGATTATGATATAATTTTTACATCCTGCATGTGTATCATTGTGAAATATATTACTTGGAGTAAATCACATTTTAATAGCAAGAAATTCATTAAATATATTCCTTATTTATCTACATGCATCTTATATTTTACATTTTGTTTGATGGCAGATAAGTCACTGAAAGGATGGAAAGAAGTGGAATATGAAGTAGTGAGAGATGCTTTTGACAACTGTATAACCGTAAGTTTACAACCAATTAATATAAGTAAGTTCTTGTGTGTGTGTGTGTGTGTGTGTGTGTGTACGTGTGTATGTACGTATGTGTGTGTGTGTGCGTGTGTGCGTGCGTGTGTGCGTGCGTGTGTGCGTGCGTGTGTGCGTGTGTGTGTGTGTGTGTGTGTGTGTGTGTGTGTGTGTGTGTGTGTGTGTGTGTGTGTGTGTGTGTGTGTACATGTGTGCACTCACCTAGCTGTGGTTGTGGGGGTCAAGTCACAGCTCCTGGCCCTGCCTCAACTGGCCGCTACCCAGTCACACTTCCTGCTCCGTGAGCTTTATCATACCTCTTCTTAAAGCCGTGTATGGATCCCGCCTCCACTACATCACTACCCAGGCTATTCCACTTCCTGACAACTCTGTGACTGAAGAAATACTTTCTAACATCCCTGTGGTTCATCTGAGTCATCAACTTCCAACTGTGACCCCCTTGTTGCTGTGTCCCATCTCTGGAACATCCTGTCTGTCCACCTTGTCTATACCTCTCGGTATTTTATGTAATCATATCTCCCCAACTCTCCTGTCTTGCAGTGTCATCAGGTCGATATCCCTTAACCTCTCCTCATAGGACATACCCCTTAGCTCCGGGACTAGTCTTGTTGCAAACCTTTGCACTTTCTCTAGTTTCCTTACATGTTTGACTAGGTGAGGATTAGAAACTGGCACTGCATATTCCAATATTGGCATAACGTACACAGTGTACAGGCTCCTGAATGACTCCTTATTTAGATGTTTTAATGCTGTTCTTAGGTTTGTCAGGTACCCGTATGCTGCAGCAGTTATTTGGTTGATGTGCACCTTAGGAGATGTGCCCGGTGTTATACTCACACCAAGATCCTTTTCCTTGAGTGAGGTTTGTAGGCTCTGGCCCCCTAGACTGTACTCCGTCCGTGGTCTTTGCCCTTCCCCAATCTTCATGACTATGCACTTGGTGGGGTTGAACTCCAGGAGCCAGTTGCTGGACCAGGCCTACAGTCTGTCCAGATCCCTCTGTAGTTCTTCATGGTCCTCGTCCGATTGAAATCTTCTCGTCAACTTCACATCATCTGCAAACAGGACACTTTGGAGTCTATTCCTTCCGTCATTATTATATTATTTTTTTTTTTATTATTATCACACTGGCCGATTCCCACCAAGGCAGGGTGGCCCGAAAAAGAAAAACTTTCACCATCATTCACTCCATCACTGTCTTGCCAGAAGGGTGCTTTACACTACAGTTTTTAAACTGCAACATTAACACCCCTCCTTCAGAGTGCAGGGACTGTACTTCCCATCTCCAGGATTCAAGTCCGGCCTGCTGGTTTCCCTGAATCCCTTCATAAATGTTACTTTGCTCACACTCCAACAGCACGTCAAGTATTAAAAACCATTTGTCTCCATTCACTCCTATCAAACACGCTAACGCATGCCTGCTGGAAGTCCAAGCCCCTCGCACACAAAACCTCCTTTACCCCCTCCCTCCCAACCTTTCCTAGGCCGACCCCTACCCCGCCTTCCTTCCACTACAGACTGATACACTCAAGTCACTCTGTTTTGCTCCATTCTCTCTACATGTCCGAACCACCTCAACAACCCTTCCTCAGCCCTCTGGACAACAGTTTTGATAATCCCGCACCTCCTCCTAACTTCCAAACTACGAATTCTCTGCATTATATTCACACCACACATTGCCCTCAGACATGACATCTCCACTGCCTCCAGCCTTCTCCTCGCTGCAACATTCATCACCCATTCTTCACACCCATATAAGAGCGTTGGTAAAACTATACTTTCATTCATTCCCCTCTTTGCCTCCAAGGACAAAGTTCTTTGTCTCCACAGACTCCTAAGTGCACCACTCACCCTTTTCCCCTCATCAATTCTATGATTCACCTCATCTTTCATAGACCCATCCGCTGACACGTCCACTCGAAAATTTCTGAATACATTCACCTCCTCCATACTCTCTCCCTCCAATCTGATATCCAATCTTTCATCACCTAATCTTTTTGTTATCCTCATAACCTTACTCTTTCCTGTATTCACTTTTAATTTTCTTCTTTTGCATACCCTACCAAATTCATCCACCAATGTCTGCAACTTCTTTTCAGAATCTCCCAAGAGCACAGTGTCATCAGCAAAGAGCAACTGTGGCAACTCCCACTTCATGTGTGATTCTTTATCTTTTAACTCCACGCCTCTTGCCAAGACCCTCGCATTTACTTCTCTTACAATCCCATCTATAAATATATTAAACAACCACGGTGACCTCACACATCCTTGTCTAAGGCCTACTTTTACTGGGAAATAATTTCCCTCTTTCCTACATACTCTAACTTGAGCCTCACTATCCTCGTAAAAACTCTTCACTGCTTTCAGTAACGTACCTCCTACACCATACACCTGCAACATCTGCCACATTGCCCCCCTATCCACCCTGTCATACGCCTTTTCCAAATCCATAAATGCAACAAAGACCTCTTTAGCTTTATCTAAATACTGTTCACTTATGTGTTTCACTGTAAACACCTGGTCCACACACCCCCTACCTTTCCTAAAGCCTCCTTGTTCATCTGCTATCCTATTCTCCGTCTGTTGTTCACAAATACCAGAAACAGCACCGGTCCTAGGACTGATCCCTGTGGCACCTCGCTCGCTACAGGCGCTCTTACACCTTGCCCTGTACCATGACTCGCTGTTGTCTTCTTGACAGGCATTCCCTGATCCATTGTGGTGCCTTCCCTGTTATCCCTGCCTGGTCCTCCAGTTTCCTCACTAATCTTTTGTGTGGAACTGTCAAATGCTTTCTTACAGTCCAAGAAAATGCAGTCTACCAACCTGTCTGTCTCTGTCTTACTGCTGTAACAGAACTCCAGTAAAGTACTAAAATACTAATTACAAAGGGGGCCACTAGGACACCTAGCATGGCTAGGCATTTTGGGCAGACTTAGATTAATTCTAAACTTTAAATTAGTACAGATTATGGTACTAAGGCTAAGTGACTACATTATAGTTTGTGAGTTTAGCAATGTGAATGCTCTTTTTTTGGCACAATACATAGTGTCTATATTGGAGTATCATAGGCAAACTTATGACAAGTTAGGATTCATTATTTTAAGATTAAGCTTTGTATTTGTGTGTTTATAGTCAATGGATTATGTATTGGTAGATAAAAGACTGTTGAGTAGACTTCAGGATGTACATGTTTATAGAGGGGCCAGAGATATATCGGATCACTTTCTAGTTGTAGCTACACTGAGAGAAAAAGGTAGATGGGATACATGGAGAATAGAAGCATCAAGGAAGAGAGAGGTGAAGGTTTATAAACTAAAAGAGGAGGCAGTTAGGGTAAGATATAAACAGCTATTGGAGGATAGATGGGCTAATGAGAGCATAGGCAATGGGGTCGAAGAGGTATGGGGTACGTTTAAAAATGTAGTGTTAGTGTTCAGCAGAAGTTTGTGGTTACAGGAAAGTGGGTGTGGGAGGGAAGAGGAGTGATTGGTGGAATGATGTAGAGAGAGTAGTAAGGGAGAAAAAGTTAGCATATGGGAAGGTTTTACAAAGTAGAAGTGATGCAAGGAGGGAAGAGTATATGGAGAAAAAGAGAGAGGTTAAGAGAGTGGTGAAGTAATGTAAAAAGAGAGCAAATGAGAGAGTGGGTGAGATGTTATCAACAAATTTTGTTGAAAATAAGAAAAAGTTTTGGAGTGAGATAAACAAGTTAAGGAAGCTTAGAGAACAAATGGATTTCAGTTAAAAATAGGAGAGGAGAGTTACTAAATGGAGAGTAAGAGGTATTGGGAAGATTGAGGGAATATTTTGAGGAATTGTTAAATGTTGAAGAAGATAAGGAAACTGTGATTTCATGTACAGGGCAAGGAGGAATAACATCTTGTAGGAGTGAGGAAGAGCCAGTTGTGAGTGTGGGGGAAGTTCATGAGGCAGTAGGTAAAATGAAAGGGGGTAAGGCAGCTGGGATTGATGGGATAAAGATAGAAATGTTAAAAGCAGGTGGGGATATAGTTTTGGAGTGGTTGGTGCTGTTATGTAATAAATGTATGGAAGAGGGTAAGGTACCTAGGGATTAGCAGAGAGCATGCATAGTTCCTTTGTATAAAGGCAAAGGGGACAAAAGAGAGTGCAAAAATTATAGGGGGATAAGTCTGTTGAGTATACCTGGTAGAGTGTATGGTAGTTATTATTTAAAGAATTAAGAGTAAGACGGAAAATAGGATAGTAGATGAACAAGGAAGCTTTAGGAAAGGTTGGGGGTGTGTGGACTAGGTGTTTACAGTGAAACATATAAGTGAACAGTATTTAGATAAGGCTAAAGAGGTTTTTGTGGCATTTATGGATTTGGAAAAGGTGTATGACAGGGTGGATAGGGGGGCAATGTGGCAGATGTTGCAGACGTATGGTATAGGAGGTAGGTTACTGAAAGCAGTGAAGAGTTTTTACGAGAATAGTGAGGCTCAAGTTAGAGTATGTAGGAAAGAGGGAGATTATTTCCCAGTAAAGGTAGACCTTAGACAAGGATGTGTGATGTCACTGTGGTTGTTTAATATACAGTGGTCCCTCAATTATCGTCCATAATCCGTTCCTGGAAGTGGGACTATTATCGAAATAGACGATTTTCGAATCAATTTTCCCCATAAGAAATAATGTAAATACAACTAATCCGTTCCTGACACCCAGAAGTATTTTTTTTTTTTATTTTATTATTATCACACCGGCCGATTCCCACCAAGGCAGGGTGGCCCGAAAAAGAAAAACTTTCACCATCATTCACTCCATCACTGTCTTGCCAGAAGGGTGCTTTACACTACAGTTTTTAAACTGCAACATTAACACCCCTCCTTCAGAGTGCAGGCACTGTACTTCCCATCTCCAGGACTCAAGTCTGGCCTGCCGGTTTCCCTGAATCCCTTCATAAATGTTACTTTGCTCACACTCCAACAGCACGTCAAGTATTAAAAACCATTTGT